TGAGTATAATCACAATTTGGAAAAATCTTTTTCATAGGAGAAAGAAGTGAGAGTGATGATACGCTTCTATTAACACCGAAGAGACTGGGACACCATCATCAAATAAACACAGGCCATCATCAGATGATGATGATGATGAAATTCCATCAGGTATTCATACAAAGAGATCTTACTTAAAAGGTAAACTCTTAAAAATCATGCTGCTTTTAAGAAAATGTACTGTCACTGTCCAAATTAAGACTGAAATGTAATTTATCACTGACACACAATTATCTCATTTTCATGTGAATTTCAAAATCATCTCTGAATGGTACGTTTGTTCTGAAAATGTTGTGAAAGGATGCAACAGTGCAGCTTATGTTGCTCATTGAACAGCAAAATATCAGTCCAAATGACAGTATGCATTGTGATTCAGTCATCTACTCTCTTTGACTCTTTCAATAACAAACCATTTTTTTTCTCAGTACTTCAAGGAAGAGGAAGAGAACTCCCTGGGAAGAAAGTGAAATAAAGGCACACGATGAGACTCATCAAATCTTTTAGCGTCCCAGGAAAAATGGAGTGTGAAAGATATTTAAGGGCTGAACCAGAAGCCCTTAAAAAACGAGAATGACAAACCCTCAAATATTTGTTTATAACCACATGCCGACTGCCAATAGGAAATTGCTGTGCAAACAAGTTTTTCATCAAAAACTCACTGATTAGTCACTTTTATTTCCATTATGGATATTTAAATTTGAATGTATTTTGAAACAATGTCAACACTTTTTTGTTTTTGTTTTAGATAGACATTTTATTTATTTATTTATTTTTAGCACACATTCTGTTCCATTAAATAAAAACTCTTCATAATGTTAGGATATTGGCCGGTTCTTTGATTGGAAGAACAAGCCGGAGATGTTTTCCGTTCTCTGAAGCAGAAATATTCAAGTCACACGACATTTAACAAACCAAAAATGTCAAAATAGATTATTTCAACGATTATTATTGACATTAATTGACTTTCATTTGACAGTTAGGTTCAGATGCTTGCCATTTTTGATGAGTAATACACTTTGTGTGAGGTCCCCATTAATCACGTGTACTTGGTATGGATCCTGTGTGAATTATGTAAATATATTTAAATATATTGAAATTAAGTCCCCATCACGCATGTAAAATTGACTTTTCTGAAGTCCCCAAAAGGTACGGTCCAACCATGACTTCATAAATTCTGATATTTAAAGGTGTGTATAAGCTAACACCGCCACCTTGTGTATCCGTGATTTTTTGCAGAGCTGTATCTCATTTGGAAAGGGTGGTCCCCGAAAGTGATGAACAAAAAAGTGGTCCCCGTAAAGCATATAAACGCGTATGTGTGTGTGTGTGTGTGTGTGTGCGTGTGCGTGTATTGGGGGGCTGAATGCAATTAGAGGTCACTGATTATGCTCCAAACGTCATTCCCG